TCTGACTTCATCAGGTGTCCATTGATTGGCTGATATGGGATATCTGTTGATGTGTTGATTATTGGGACAATAATCAACACATTATCACAATAACCACCAGATATCCCATATCAGCCAATCAATAGACTTCTGATGATGACTAGAGAGTACTTAGTTGAAACGTTATGTCTATAATAACATCTATATCAAGAAAGAGGAGATAAATAGTTCGAAATAATACAAGAATACATTTTATCTCTCGATTGTGTTTCTGCCTTCGTGTAGAACACAGCAATTAAATGAGGGGTTCTTGGACCCGGGGATTCCAAACGTGCAGCAGCACCTCTCTTATTGCACTAAAGAAGGAGAGTTCGTATTTGTTGTTGTTCTTTCTGTCGTGTTTTTTGTCACGATGAGAGCTTTGAGAGATGCTTGGTGTCGGAGATTCCAACCCAGCGGCAACACCAACTTCATTGCATTTAAGCGGGAGAGTTGGTGGATGCCAACGCCAGTGTGACAGTGGTCGCAGGGATTGGACACGTTTTGGGGCCTACGCCTACGGGCACACCGCATTAAAAACGATGCCTTGTCACGTACCGCCAGCGCGGGGAGGCGAGTAATTACCGATCGGGTTAGAAAAGGATAAATCTGTATTTCAGTCCTCCTCTCTGCGGTGTGTTCGCCTTCGTACAGTTGGCGGAATGAGCTTGAGGGGTGCCTGATCTCGAGGATTTCAAGCCTACAGCAACACCACCCTCATTGCACTAAAGACGGTGTCAATTTCCTGTTGATTTAAGTTGTTCATGTTTAGATGATTACAGTGTACGTAGAGTTTTTTTTTTTTAAGCATATCACCCCATGCACGGCGAAAGTGCCACTAGCACGCAAGGGGTTACAGAAAGTGAGAGCAAGAGTAAAGTGGGGTGTTTGAGGAAGGGATATATGAAGAAAAACGGAAATCAGAATCATGGCATCAGAAGATGTCGATTGACATTACATTTGAATATTATAGCTATCAGAGAAACAAGTAAGAGGAAGGGAGTTCCATTGTAGGGAAGTGCAAAGATAAGAAGCAGTTGGAGTAGAAGAGACAGTTTCGACAGTGAAAAGCTGAGACCGAGAAAGGGTGGCACGGTTAAATTTATGCAGTTTGGGAACCAGTGAAAATATCTCGTCAGTGCAGTCTCCATGTAAATACTTGTAGAAAAGACAGAGGGAAGCCACAGCACGTATGTGAGAGAGTGACTGTAGACGAGATGCCAGAACAGGGCCTATCACATGAGTTGTACGATAATGAAATTTCAATTTTTTTTAAAAACATTACTGTAGATTAAGAGCTCAAGATACCCGAATACACGAAAAGATTAATTACATTATTTACATTATTCGGACTATTGTCCTCATCTTTGTCGCCATATTTATTACAACGTTTCGGCAGCTGTACACTCCGGCCTTCTTCAGGTGGTTGGAATGTCGAACTGAACCCTTTATTTCACTCACTGGGGTAGACTGTTCTAGTTCCACGTGCCATGTTTAATAGATGTCAGTTTTTAGTTATCTCCTGT